ATCTTCGTAGAAAGATTTCTGTCTGTCGCTATAAAGCATACGTTCAATTCCTTCTAATGTGTCCTCTTAAAACTTGCATACGATTTAACTTTCTGAAGAACTCAAAAGAAATACGAATCTTCAAAGCGTGTAACTAAGCCACAAACATCGACTATACATTGGGACATATAGCTGCCTCCTACTGGATGAAATCCTGCTTCCTTTATTGCTCTCCTGCTCGAAATACGAACTTCAGCGAAAACTACACGTGTTGTGAAATCCACCTTAAAATCCAATTGCCTTGATTCCATTATCACAGCTCACCATGAGCTGAGATATGTTTCCAAGACCGACTTTCTGTTAAGCTCGGCACTGATTGATAATCCGATGTTTTTCTTCAATAAGCAGACACGAGGTTTGTCTGCTCCTCCTGTCTGAACCTCGTGTCTGCTTATTGAAGAAAAACATCGAATGAGATACATTTGTCTAACAATTTCGCGACAAAGCTAGTTTTTCGACAACAGATGCCTGCCGACATCCGATTTCTCGACCACTAAAATAGTTCAACAATTCGAAACTTTATAGATCCACAGTAAAGATGCATATCGCATCAATCGCATATAGAATCATTATGGGGGCCCTTTAAAATCTAAATTTGTTTAAGACTAAAATACTCGAAAACTCACCGACAGGACATAAGCCCTTGAAATTTACAGTGGCACAACGGCAGCTGCAAACACAAACGATACATTAGGAAACGCCATCGTTTCGTACAGGATAAAACCCCACTTGGTTATTTTCTTTCGTGTTTGAAATAAGCCGAGTGGAAGAAATATACGTCATGGACTCAAGAAAATCGGAATTCCACCTTTACAGAGTAGGATTGCTTGTACCTTGAAGTTAAAGATTTCCAGGTTTAAAAAACGGATTCGCTATAAATCTTGGCATAAATAATCGATATGTGTACATATATTCTTGCAAACTGCACTTGTTCAGCTGATGGCAGATTGTTATCAGTTGTTGTTGTTGTTGTTGTTGTTGTCGTGATTCAGTGGCTTTCTTCAGAGCACGGCCCTATTTTATGTAACGAAATCAATCTAATTTTGTGAATTATCTGCAGTACTGATGAAGATCAATTATACTAATGAACGCTATTTCCTAAAAAAAAAACTATTTACCATTTTGTTAGGTGTGGGACTTACCGTGTGTTGTTCATGCGGGATGATGAGTAATACCCAGCCACGTGAAAGAAACAGTTTGAAAAAAAGATGCCACGTCACGTGTGCCAGTGAGCTATTCGTCTGTTTGGTTCATATCTGGACTTTTGAAGTTTATATAAAATGCTTCGAGAGTACCACGCGCTGTACCGATTCTACCGAGTACCGATTCTTGCACTAGGATCCCGACAGTCACTTCAAAACCATCACCATTGTACTTTTGTGCCCTATGCATATCCATTCTCTTCTCCTGTGCACACATTTTTAACCGTATGGTACTTGTTTTTGGTAAACCCTTTCTTCATGTGTGAAGGATTAGGGAAGAGGTAGTGCACGAATACATTTCTACTGCTTAGTTTTCGATATCGTTTTGTTACGCGGTCACATTCTGAAAGCTTTACTTGGATGTTCAATAATGGAACCCAGTTCTTATTTGGTTTCTCTCGCGTAAATTCTATATACTCCGACTGTCGATTTAACAGTTCAAAGCATTCGACCATCTGTTCTTCTGTGTAACAGACGATAAAGCAGTCGTCTATGTGTCGGCAGTAGAGTAACGGTCGGCGATCGGGAACTGGAGCCTCCACCTTAGACATGGAAGCGATGGCAAGGCTTGGTGCTAATCGCTGTCCCATGGCCAACCTTCCAATTTGTGCAAAACATCTTCCCGACTAGCTAAAAATTGAACAACTAAGACACCTATATTTTTTCTTGATAAGGTTACACAAGGTTGATAAAGAATTTTCACTCAACGTCGAAACGCCAGTTTAATAAATGTTTTATACCAAACTCGTGTTAGCTTAATAATCCAAGAAAGTAGTGTTTTAGTTGTTTAACCATCAGGTGGTTAGGACGATATTTTTCACAGAATAGAGGGTTGGCTATAAAACAGCGCGTAGCACCAAGTCTTGCCATAGCTTTTATGTCTAAGGTGGAAAGCTCCAGTTCTCCACCACCGACCCCTTTTCTAGTGTCGTTATACAGCTACTGCTTCATCGCCTGTTCCAAACACGAACAAAGGAGAAGTGCTTTGAACTGTTTAATGAGCAATCGGAGTATATATAATTATGGGAGGAAAACCAAACATCCAAATAAAGCTTTCAAAAAGTAGCTTCATAACAAAACGGTATCGGAAAGTAAGTAGCAAAAATATATCAGTGCACCACCTCTCTTATCCTTTACACGTAAAAAATCGATCGTCGAAAACACGTGCCGGATAACTAAGATGCATGCATAGGAAAAGAGGAAAGGGAAAAATCCCCAAAGTAGAGAAAAAATGGCTATTTCCAATAGCTACGAAGCAGCAACCACTCGAGTCAGATCAGAGGGTAGGGAGGGTTACGGCGTAACGCAACGTTCAAACCTAAATAAGAATCCTTCTAAGCTATCCTTCGTATCAGACGAAAAAAATTACGCCATTAAGAAATATATACGTGGTCTGGAAAATTCTGTTCAGTTATCGACCTTCCACCTAATACCTTACGGTATCAATTAGTCCGCGAGCGCTTCTATAATCGTTTGTACAGGTCAAAAATAGTGTAATCTACCTTAATGGCAGAGCCGGGATTGCACGAGTTTAAGTAAAATATACTTTATCTGGTGTAAGATATGTCGTCAAGAGTACATTGGCGAAACGGTTAGACCACCCTGTGGTCAAAGGACCCGCATGGTGTGGTGGTGAACGCGTTACTCCCCGGAAAGGACAATAGCGCGTTCCCAAGACCGACTTTCTGTTAACCTCGGCATTAATTGATAATTCAATGTTTTTCATCAATAAGCAGACACGAGGTTGTTAATATAGAATTTATTAGAACACAATTGTTGACGTTTCGGCGGTTTCGCCTTCTTCAGAGCCTGGAAAGGTCAAATTGAAATGTGATCTACTCAGCCAAACACTTTCATAACCCCAGCAGATAAAACTTGACAATTCGATTTGCATTCGCATAAGAAACAGCTTCATTCAAACACCTACCGTTTATTTGTTGTAAGTATTTAAGTTAGTTGGTGGCTAGCCGCCGCACAGAGTAATACATGGTCGATAACTGTGTCCATGTCAGGTCATTGGATCAGCCTGAGGTATGGCGCCAGGTCACGCGTGATGACAAGACACTCCTCCTTGCTGTTCATTTTTGAATTTTTGGCATTGATCCAAAACGCTTCAAGAGTTTTACGCGCTGATGTTTTCGATTCCTGCGTAAGGATAGTGACTCCTACTTCGAAATCTTCTCCGTTGTGTTCCTGCATCCTATGCGCGCCTAGTGGAGTATTTTGTTTTAATTTAGATTTACCGACTAGGTCTTAACTCTTTTACTTACTGCCTTTTTCTTCTTAATGGCAGGTTATGTTGCGAAGTATCCGAAGACCCGGATGGTGTAGTGGTGAAGTGCGCTGCTCCCCGGTAAGGACAACAGCGCGTGTTCGTTCTCCACTGCATACACCTGTGGTCCGGAGTTTTGCAAATATCTCAGCATTTCATACGAGTTACCGACTAGGTGTTCTCTTATGCGGACGCAGAGTGGTCTACCCGTTTCGCCAACATATTCGTGCCCGCACGCTTTACAAGAGATCAGATAGACTGTACCCGAACTCATGCAATCACCGTCTCTACCATTTGGGCAAATTATGCAGTTTTTTGTTGTACATAGACGGTCGTACAGGCGGTTGCGAACTAGCTGGCGTCTTAGAGTGTCCGGTGGTATTTCTATCACTCTTACGGAATTCACTAGACCGGCCCTTATTAAGCAGCGTTTTATAGCTGCACTTATTTCGTTTGAAATAAAGGGCAACAGGAACGGAGCCTTGTTTTCGCTAGAATTATCGCTCTGAGGCGTGGGATTTCCTCGATGTCTATCCTGAGAAGCTACGGTTTCGTAACCAGTTCTTATGCGAATGCAAATCGAATTGTCAAGTTTTATCTGCTGGGGTTGTGAAAGTGTTTGGCTGAGTAGATCACATCTCAATTTGACCTTTCCAGGCTCTGAAGAAGGCGAAACCGCCGAAACGTCAGCAATTGTGTTCTAATAAATTCTATATTAACAACCTCGTGTCTGCTTATTGATGAAAAACATTGAATAGCGCGTTCGTTCCCCACCATAGACACCTGCGGTCCAGAGTTTTGCAAATATCTCAGCATTATACACGAATTATATTTCGCAACATACCCTGCCATTAAAAAGAAAAAGGCAGTAAATAAAAGAGTTAAGAGTGCCGGTTAACACCAAAAAAACACCAACTCATTATCACATACCTCGTATCAACGGAGCAAAAAACAACAAAACAAAATATTTCAACAAAGCGGCGGATATCATAGTGGTAGTGATGTGCGCCATCACGAGCATGGTGCCAGTTCGATTCCCCACCGGGCCAACCAAGTCTCTCATCCCTCCGGAGTCGGGAAATTGGTACCGGACTTTTGTCAGGGAAAAAACGGCTCTCTGCAGTTCAATTGAGAACGCTCCAGCCCGGCTACCTCAGCATTACAAGAAAAAATGCTTAACCAGCATCCTATGACATTCACGATAAAATGAAAATCCTCGAGCAGCAACCGAAGCCACACGTAAAAGTTGCAAGATTTTGGTGGAAAATGGATGCGAGGAAACAAATCGAATATGAGAAATGCTGGGATCCGTACAGTAGACGTGAAGACGAGTCATAAAAAAAGCAAAAAAAAAATTTCAAGGGTACAAAATTCGCATATAAATGACGTCATGCACTTCCCTTACATTTGTCATTTGTTTCAATTTGAAGGATGTACCTAATAAAACTTAATAACGATAGAATACTATTTTGAATGATATTGAAATGTTACAAAACCAAATGTTCCTCTGAGATTTCAAGACTATTCCATTTCAAAGGAAGTAAAGGATTTTGGAAACAAATATTGGAACCACGTACCAAATATGTCATTGGACATACGAACTTCCAGAGAATTTTCCAGTATATGTAGCACGGTGGATATGAACCAATCATCCATTTAATGTTATCCAATAAGTTGTCTATACCGTACACCTACAAAAACACTTTTAATAAAGCCGGCTACCTCAGAATAACGAAAAAGCACACCGCCCACGTTAAAAAAAATCGAAAAGATACATGCAAAGATCCCGACATACGAACAATTCAAAGCACACAGCAAAAGTATGCGCTCGACCTACCCAGCTGATTGCCATGCACTCAAGAAAAGCGATTACAACAAGAGGCCAAGTAAAGGTGAACTTTGCAAGCAATAATAACCAGTACAACCCAGCCTGGAAACAGTTACGCGCACCTTTGGTGATACAGTCTGAATATGTGATAAAACATCTAAAATCGTTCCGCGCTTTAAATCACAGCAATTCAAAAACATAATAAGTAAAATTCGAAGAAATTATACAATATAACCACGTTCTTTATCCTTGCAAAAAAAAGTTAGAAAAAAACACACCGACAGACAAAAAGGTATACTCAAAATCATAAACACGGCGCATACGCTAGTCAAAACATGACGCCTGTTGCGACGCAGACGTTCTGGAAACTCATCGCACATAGAGGTCACGATCGTCTCCACCTTAAAAACCAACACTCACTAAATAAAAAGGACTTAATAAAAAATTGCAAGGGCAATACTATATAAGCTAAGACAATTGAAATAGGAAACTCTGCACTAACTTAATCTTTCTATTTGCTGTCTATTCTTTTTATTGGTAGGGTATATTGCGAAATATAACTTCTATAATGCTCAGATATATGTAAAACTCCGGACCGAAGGTGTCTGCGGTGGGGAATGAACGAGCTATTGTCCTTTTCGGGGAGTAACGCGTTCACCACCACAGCGTGCGGGTCCTTCGTTTCGCCTGTCTCTCAGGTAGTTCTACCGATCACTTGCCATCAGCAATCACCCGTCAACGGGATTGATCTGGGGAGCCCACAACGGCATTGGACCCAGTTAGGTTGAGACTGTAGTCGGAAAGGACAATAGTGCGTTCGCTCCCCACCGTAGACACATGCGGTCCGGAGTTTTGCAAATATCTCAGCAATCTCGTGGTTGTATTTCGCTTAGTACCCTGCCATAAAAATAATAGAAGGCAGAAAATAAAATAGTAAACGTTGGCCATATAATTACACATACATCAAAGGGATTGCTGATTGAGCTGAGAGACAGGCGAAACAAAGGCCCCGCATAGTGTGGTGGTGAACGCGTTACTACCCGGAAAGGACAATAGTGCGTTCGTTCCCCACCGCAGACACCTACAGTCCAGAGTTTTGCAAATATCTCAGCACTATAGAACCTTGCACTAAATTCCGATGTTCCTTACAAAATTAATCACGTTTTAAAGTTACGAAAAGTTAAAACTCAACAGAGTGGATAGCGCAGCAGTAGTTCTGTCGCTCAGTACGAACTAAGCGCTAGTTCGACCGCAAGCGAGAACTACCGAACCTCTCATACGATCGGGGTCCAGAAATTATTAACAGGCTGATCTGGTAACAGATAGCGATTCCTTATGATAAAAATCTGGTGACGTCCTAGTAAGGTGGTCTTAAGGTTCCAGGAAGAATGGATTCGATTAAAAGTCAACGACATTCATAAAGAAGACCAAAAATCCTCAGGCAGCAGCCGGACCCAAACAAAAATCGAAGCCTCTTCTCGGATTGAAAACGTGAATGAATGAATGAATGAATGAATGAAACAAGTTATCATCCACACGGAGCGACATAGTGTCGTGCAAAAAATCCAAATGCAACAATATTTCTTTAGCGCCGAAAATTCTACTATGACACAAAAGTTCAATGCGTTGTTTTCTGTTTCGACAACATATCATTAGACCATGGATCTCCCTCAAGCGATCTCAGGCAGGTCAGTCACGAGGAAACGTGACCTTAAGCATCCTTGAAAGGCAGGAGGAACCAGAAGGTGGGCCCCATGTTTCTGCTGCGGCGATTGGAAGAATACCATCTGTGTATGCGAGGATGTATTCATGCATACATGCGTGGGTGTGTTATAGGTTATGCGGAATCTATTCTACGAGTCAATCCAGCCAAAAATCTGCTATCAAGTGACAGGTAGCATATGAGAGGCAGTTAGGAATCGCCTCCAACAAATAAGCTCCATGTCAATTCCGGGAAAGACTGGCAAGCTACCCGTGAGTATACCCACCCAACACTCCGAGCTCATCACGCTACACATGGCTATCAAAAGGTAAACACACTAAGATAAACGGTTCTCATTGGACCCGAAGGACCCTAATACGAAAGTGTTGGGTAGGACGAGTAAGGACTGGCTGTTAAAATCTCAGGTCCATCCTACGCTGCTCAAACTGCAAAGAAGTAAGGTGACGATCTGCACCTAGAATGCATGGTAAATCATTCACGATAAAAGCTCGGATCTGTTAACTACCAACGTCCTACAGCACTCATACGAAATACAGAAGGATATGTCGTACCATCGATTCTCCTTCCCGAAATCCGACACGCTACCCTGTCGGTGAGAAGTCGAACAGCACCAGGTTCGGACAGGATAAGACCTGAATACCTTAAGAACCCTCCCCCAGTTCTCGTCAAGATACTACTTCGGCTCTTCACACGTTCTTCTAGAATGCAAAGTTCGTATTAAATAGAGAACCAACAAATCTGTGTTGTTGTTGTTCAGGAAGGGTGACCTCCACGGCATTGGCAACAATCGCCCCCTCTGCTTATTTATGTCGCCTAGAAAGTTTTCACTCGAGTTATCCTAGACAAGATTGACAGAACACTGGAAGAAAGGCAGCCATGTGAGCAAGCAGGTTTTCGAAAAGGATTCAATACGATGGATCACATACACACCTTAACAAGACTCACTGTAGTATCAAGTGAATACAAGAAACCGCTATGTCTCACTTTTATTCTTTAGGGAAAGCTTTTGACTCAACTAAGGTCAAAGCAGTCATGGAAGCCCTGGACAACCAGGAGGTCCGTATTCAGTATATAAAAATTCTTCGTAATCTACACAAAAAAATCACAACCAATGTATCACCATTCTACAACGATTTTAACATCGAGGTCAAAAGAGGGGTTAGGCAAGGCGATACCCTCTCACCAAAATTATTTACAGCTACCCTCGAGAAAGTCGTATCAATATTGGAATAGGACAACATGGGAATGAAAATCGATAGTCGACATTTACACCATCATCGCTTTGCCGATGACATCGTTCTCATACAGCAAGCATTAGGCAAGCAGAAAGAATGCTTGACGACTTTGACAACGCTTTTGGACAGGTTCATGCTCGACAAAATCTAACCGAATAATTCTCTATTCTATTATATTTCAGCTACTTCAGTTTAGTTCGGGAAGTCAACATGATGAACGACATAGCTCCAGAGTTCAGCACAAGAGCGCGGCTTGGGGAGCGTTCATGAGCATCGAGGATGTAGTGGGGAGAACAAAGAACACACGACTCCCTGTTCACCTTTTCAACTACACGATTTTTCCTGCCCTAACTTATGCGTCAGAAACCTAGTCGCTACATAAGCAGGACAAAAGATCACTCAGTATTACGGAATGCGCAGTCGAAAGGACAATGCTAGGGAATCCAGAATCATGCAAATGAAGAAAGGAATCCGAAGCTCCGACCTATGTCAATGATCAAAAAAGGAAAACGCCGTTCTATAAGCAAAACTGTCGCAGCCAATGTGGACCAGGCACCTAATGTGTGTGATCGACAACAGATGGACAAGAGCCGTTAATGAGTGGATTAATAGAGATGTCAAACGTACTGTAAGAAGACCACCGACCCGATAGCCAGAATTCTTCATTAAAACCCTAGAGGAGAGATAAGATGCTCAACGAGTCCCTAGGGTGAGGAGAAACCAATGAGCTACTCTTTCACGCAACAGGGAGAAATGATAGATTTACTGACGCCAGCTCGAATCACTCGATGGTCAAGGGATGGACATGTAAAACGGATGATCATCAAACAAGGGTGGAAGGGATGGATAGTGCAATGGTTAGCGATGCCATCGACAAGCAATCAAAGGCGCTAGTTCGACCACTGTTCTTAAGCTCTCTTCCAACGCACGTAGGAACCCCTTAGCCAGACCAACTCCAAGATTGCTAGGAGATTGCACTGAACCAGTGTTCTACGATATTCATGAAGAAGATGAAGTTCTCAAGCAACAGCCGAAACCAGAACTATTCGAAGACTACTGTGGACGGCGAATACAAAGAAAATTAATCAGATGCAAGAAGTGCTGTGATCCGCCCAGTGGATGTGATAAGGTGTCATGTAAATGTAAAAAAATCAGTGGACAAAGAAAGCATTTTTTAATTGCATTTCCCACCTGGCAGGTCTGAAAGAAACTATAATATACCACGGAAAAAACAAAACTTACAACAAAGAGCTGTGTTGAGTGAACAATTAGGACCACCATTAAAAAGAACAATCCAGTGTAAAGTGGCGCAACAGGTACTCCAGCCAACGCTTCGGCCAAGAATACGAATATAAGATGTGCTCCATCTAAATCGTCTAATTTTATAAACTCAACCAAAAAACAAACAGTCATTGCAGGAGTTATAAACAGGGTTGAGGTGCAGCAAATCTTCTCCAGTACGCACTTTCATTTCGATGGTTTCTTCTATCGCAGGATTTCCTTATGATACCTTAGCAAAGCGATAGCTTTCTCGCCACAGGTATCGTGTCACGTGCAGTACAAGAAAAACTAGCCAGTGTAGGCCACAGGGTAATATAGTCTTTAAAATGAACTGTTTCGTTCCTGCGCGCTCTATAGATACCTTCCCGCTTACTGTACAAATACACAGAGACTGCTTTTAATGTTCATGTTCATGCTTCTTTTAATGACTATGTTCATGAATGCGTTCCCACACTTCCACACAGATGTCTTGTAATTGTTACGTTTGTTCTCGCACCGGTCCATAGATATTGTAAATGTCTTTTTCAAAATAGTTCTACAATCTACAATCCTACAGTTTACACTCTCAAAATGTGCACCATTTGCATATACCTTGCAGTTTACTCTTTCTGTCACTGTTACTGAAATATTCCAAGGTAAAAAAATTTCTTAGCCTAGCTGCATTTGATACTCACTTATTTAGCAAATTTACAGATATAGAGCCGTAATAATTTCCCGTATTCTTAACAAAGCAAACACGACATATACGCTTCCTTTTTCTAAGTTACTAAAGCCTTAATCCAGAATAAAGCTATATAGAGTTGTAGGTGTGAAATAAATGTTCTGGGTGTGGTTTTAAATCTGGATGAAATAGGTTTCGATTTTAATTCTCACAATAGATCTTCTATGCATTTACCAAACATGTCAAACTGACTCCTCCCAACAGTTTCGTGCCTTATCTTGGCTGGAAGGTGTTCCTGAGTGTTGGGCTGCACTCGTACGATGCCGAACTGTTGTCTGATCTACAAGGGCGGCGACAGCCTGTGGTGGTAACGACGTGAGGTAGACTTTGGCTAAGCCAACCTCTGGACTCCAGGGAACAACAGTGGCTAAACGAGCAAAACTCCAAAAAACTGGAAATTATGCTGAGGGCCGCACAACCAAGGAGAACGGGCCATGTATCCGAGTAAGTTAGAGCATTCAGTGGAAGAAAACCCATTTACGAAAACCCAAACATGAAGTAAGTAGAAGAAGTGCAAAACTTCTTAGTTATTCTGTAACTTTCATTTTTATTTCTTCAGATTTATCTTGAACACCTTCTCATCGACATAATATAGGCGCTACTTACTTAAATACTTGGATGACCAGTCTTCACTGATTGTGAGGGCCCCATAATAATTTCCGTTTTTTTGAGTTTTACTGGTCTAGCTATTGTGGTTCCCTGGAGTCCAGAGGTCAACCTGGCCAAGGTCTGCCCTTGTCTTCACTACCACAGGCAGTTGCCTCACTTGTGGATCACACGGAGATTTGCCCCATGCGAGTAGTTTGGTACCACGACGGTGGTGATTCCTGGTATTGCTTTACTCTTAGAAGGGCTCCCGGATAGAAACATCAGACTCCTTCTCAGCTTGGGATTACCTGCCGTGGGAGGACGAATCACCCGTTATATATCGCAGCCCGGCACCCAGGAGCACTTCGAAACCATGATGAGGCTGTATGCCGTTGGGAGGAATATATGCCTTATATAGCATAAATTCCCGGACTAAATCCTTTCTTTTAAACGGCGCTAGAGACTCGTCAATACAGACATTTTTACCAGATCTCCTAAGTACTGCAATTTCTACTGAAAATTTCTATAATCTCATATAGCCTGTTTCGCTAACAGCGTTGTAAACTAAATGGAGATCAGGAAACACTATCTCCTGGAATAACTTTGGAAGCAGTAGAGGATCCAGACTGGAACACCTTTTGTTATTATGAGGACTATAAAAATCCACAACGAAGCACAGTGGAAGTGATGCCCGTCATCAAGAGCATGGTGCTAGTTCGATCCTGCTTCGGGTTCCTCATCACTACAGGGTCGAGAAATTTGTACCGGACTTGTCTGCGAAAAAATCACTCTCTACAAACCAATTAGGAACGCTCCAGTCCAACTATCTCAGGACTCCAGAAAGAATTTCTCGACCAGCATCCTACAATATTCAATATGAAATGGAAATCCTCAAGCAGGAACCGAAGCCACACGTAAAAGTTGGAAGATCTTAGCGAACGATGGGTGCGAGGAAACGAATTGGATTTGAGAAGTGCTGGGATCCGCACAGTAGATGTGAAGACGGATCAAATAAAATAAAAATAAGAACTCTTATCCGAAGTACAATAAGCAGTCCTTTAATCTTCAAGAGTCGATTCTCAAAACTGACTGGCTCATTCTCTTGTCCGTATCTGTGTACCATCTTCATAACAAGATTTCAAATATGCGAAATACTAATTCTTGACATCCAAACAGAAGCAGATGATAAACTCCACACCGACTGTCACCGAAGATCGAAACATCATCACGTTCGACTTGTTTTCGCACTCATTATTGACCTAGATTCCCATAATTTTCGCCATCATCCTCAGATCCAATTTCTTCAGACGCTTCAACAGAAGCAACAGATTCCTCATTATCCTTAATACTTTCAATCTGTTCTGAACTCTCCATGAGAAGTCAATCCAATTAGTCCTCTTTCGACATGATGCAATACTAAATTGGATTTCTCGCCAAAAATTAACCGTCACTTCCTTCTCGATTGCTAGGATAAGTTAATATTTATTGTTTGCAATGGGATGATATAAAAACATACAAAAAGTAGGTATGCTCTACATGTGGTGCGAAACAAAGTTATATAAAGATAAACGATAAAGCTGTCGGCGTTGATCAATCCCTGAGGGATGCGCCATGCATTTGACTTCACTAAGTGTCGTTGGAGGTGACTGAATGCATATCTGGCTTCTACAATGGTAGCCTACCGATTTATCGAGTCAGTGCTGCTACCCTCCCAAACAAGTTTGCTACCAATTTGCCCACGCAGGACGGATACAGGGCTTAGTGGACCTAGGGTGTAGGGATCGATCCCATGTGTTTTAAGTTGGAAATAAATTAATGCAAGACCATAAACGAGATGGGCAAACTTCCTCATCTGACATATTACGGAAAACCGCCGATTATAATCGGCAAACGTTCGCACAAACCCGTCAAAGCTTGTTATTTCGAACAGTTCCTATGGAACTATTTCTTAATACGCAGTAGAGGAGTCAAAAAGTAAACTCTATAAAAAGGTGTTTCATAAAAACACCGCTATTAATTAGTATGATTACTGCAAATTCGTGAGAATCCAAACAGCTTTAGTCTGTGCCTATAATTATCAGTACTACTGCTTTATGGACAGTACAATCATAACAATGGAACGGCACTTCATAAGAGCAACTAACTGTTAGTTTCTTTGATCTTGTAAAAAATCCTCAACAAGCCTCGTGCTTAGCTATAAAAGTGGAAACTAATGGTTTTCCTTAGAGATATGCATGTTGAAAATTTGTTTCAGGAATTATTTTATCAATTTTCGAATCACCTAATATGCACGACTTCCTTCACTCTTACGAATATAGTAACCTAACGACCTAAAATTGAAGCGCAAGTTTTAGCGTTTCGGCCAAAATTTTTCTAAAATTGCCGAAAAAGTGTCTAAAAAGAAACATAAAGATGATTTAAGACGAAGGATAAAGAATATAAAATCGTCAACCTTTTATATGAAATTTATCCAGTGAGATGGAAAACTGAAAGCACGTGAATCCGATTGCAGAGAATGTAAGCACACAACAAATCATTGAAGTGATAATATCAACAATCAGAACCATCCAAACGTCTCTGTAAACTACTTTTCCATTACTGAGCGAATCAAACTCTCATGAACCTACTTGAACAAATTGTTATGGAAACGATTGTAGCTTGAAGTCGTATGAAGACCTCCAGTACAGCAAGCCACTGTGTAAAATGCGTGCACTGCAGCTTCTCCCCACACCTGTAATGCGGATGGATGACGTAAGCACTCTCAAATTCGAAAACTTCAGCAGATATTTTACATTTTAAGCCCAAGTATTAATCTTCTCTAAATACTGAAAACCTTTTTGTTGTAAGCCACAACCATGGCTGTTGTTTTTCGTCTTTGAATTCCTTTTCCTAGCTTTTCGTTAAATGTTTCAGCATTAGAGCCTAGCTCCCATCGGGGTCTAATAGGTGGCTATAGAACTCTTGGAACTATACACAATTTAACTATATAGAAGAATACATAGTTGCTCTTGGTGTTGAAACGCAGACGAATAAGACATTGAGACCGTAAAATGGGAGGAGATAGAAGAATTAGAAGCAAAACATTAGAGCGTATACAAACAATAGCTGCATTATATACTTCGTCTTCATATTTCTAACACTATCATCTTTTCTCCTGTACAAATGTGGTTAGTCTGCGACTGAACAGATCGGAGTTTTCGGCTCTGGAATATGGTGCTCAAGGCAATTATGTCCCACATACCAGTTCATCTTTCAAACATAAATATGTTCCAGAGCGCATTCATTCGCAAGACGGATTTCAACCACTCATACGTGAGGTCATACATTGCAACTCCAGTTCTGAAACCTTGACCTGTGATTTCAAGATGAATACAGAGTGTCACGTATCAGTAACCTGGTTTCTTGTGAACTGTACATGAATATATAGGAGACATTACCAGACACCTTTAACCCCCAAAATCTAATATATAACTGGTACGTCTCAGCATAAACTACTCACTATTCCTACAGAAGTTTTGATTATTACAGTCACGAATACAGTACTTATACAAAGAATTACGTATGATTGACGACAGGGAAAAGCAAAAATATCAATATGGATAACTCACATTTCCAGAAACGTGTTTAAAAAACTAGCTTCCCTTTTTTTCGACGAAAAATTACACAGCGTTAAACCAACCAAATGTCTGTTGTAGTGGTTCGTTCGGGGAAAGAATGTTAGTCAGATGACAACGCACTGTAGTACTTGGGCTGGTTTAGATCATAAGTGTATTACAGAACCTGTCGTCTGTGGGATGGGCGTTTTCTTACCTTGGTTCGAAGGCTTTCTACACTTGATATCTTGGTCATGATAAACTAACGATAACAACAGCAACAACAACCCGACTCTGGTTTACATCAAAAGGATTTCAAGAATTAGTTTTTTTTAGTTTAAAAGAGATTAAACTAATGGAACAAACCGTGAGATCCTTGACGGCACGCCAGTCTGGACGAAGAAAATGAACAAGAGCCACAACAGATCCTTCAAGTGTCAAAAGTCTAGCAAGTAGCACAGTCATTATTATAAACGGCAGCACCACCACCACATACACTACCTGTAATAAACAAAAAAAAAAGAAAAAGCCACACAAGTTTTGAAGAAATTTCAACTATAAAAACAGAACACACTAAAGGAAAAGACGTCAAATTAAGTTCAACATTCTCTAGTACTACCTTACCTTACCACTTGACTTAACTCCTTGAAAAAGGCAGAGAAACACAGCCATCCATGAGAGCAATACGCACATACCCAAATACCAATTTAGAGTACCCACCGTTGTGAATTCATTGGACAACATCAAAACGACATCACTAAATCATATAAATAAAAGAAAACAACTGAAAGGAAATTTAAGGGCCAACGACAAACGTTTGAAAAAGAATGGTAACACAACAGAGTAAGAAAAATACGAAAGTGAAAAATATAACCGAAATTAGAATAACTAACTGAAAATATCGAAGACTTGGTATAGTCTGAGGATTAGTACCGGAAATTAGTATTGTGGTGTTGACTTGCTAGAAATTAAGAGATATAAGGATAAATAGATCAAACCACAGCAAGGTATAAAGGTATTTACAACTTTTAGCATTCATTCTACTCTTTCCATGCGTCCTGAGTACGAAGGACTTGTTCCGACGAGTTATTTTGAAAGACAGATGAGACTACAGACTAGAAGATTACATCAAATTTGACATATTATTTCCTATTCCATATTTGCGGCCGCATTGGCAAGGAGAATCTTTACATGATTCCTATTACGATCACAGGATCATGTACAGCGTAGTGATCGGAGAAGCTATGCAATACACACGAGATCGATCCCCACTCCCAGGGCCACGAGGACCTCCATCCATTCAGGGCTTTCAAATTAGTACCAGACTTGTCTAGGATGATAGCAGCACTAGCTTGATACATCGGTAGGCCGCCGCGAGTCATTGTGAAGGCCAGATATGTATTCAATGATCTCGGATGACGCTTAACGAAATTGAGTGCATAGCGCATCCCTCAGGGGTTGATCAACGCCGACGGCTTTATCCCTTATCCTTTAGTAACATCGTGCAATAATCTGAGATTGCACAAGACTGTGCCACTTATTTCAGAAGATGAGATCTACATACGTATAGATGAATGATATATACATATAAATGAATACACACTTATATGTCTATATACACGTACACGCATTAAATGTTTCTGCAGGTATATATATATATATATATACATGCCTCCCACTGGTTTACCGCCTCATCGTGGGTGGGAGGTGTTCCTGGGTATTGGGCTGCGTTGTACAGCGGGGAGATTCATCTTCCCAGCAGGATCTCCAAAGCTGAGGAGTCCGGCGTTTCTATCATAAAGCCCAGCTAAGGAAAAGTAATACTAGGATCCACCACAATCCTGGTACCAAACCAGTCGGATGATGGCGAACTGCTGTCTGATCTATAAGGGCGGCGACAGCCAGTGGTCGTAACGACCTGAGGTAGACTTTGGCTAAGGCGAGCTCGGGAGTCCAGGGAACAACAGTGGGATTATGGTGGGGCCCACGCAACAAGCGAGAAAGGGCCATCCAGGCATCCAACTACATATATATACATATATATATATGCATAAAAAACAGCTAAACAACTATACACTACTAATAAGCCTCAAACCTGAATAATGCATGATCCGTTTATAAGGAGGGTTCCGTTAGATTCCGTGCAGGAGATTCTTGTTCCAAGCGAGCAATCTGTATAGCAAAATTGGATATCAAAACCTTATAGCATTTATTCGATTCACTTCATTAAGTTAGCTTCAATATCGCATTGGTATACAACTTCCACGTGATTTGAATATAGTTATGAACTACCAGAAAAAGTTTGAATGGCATAATATAAATGGATTAATATGTGTTCTTAAAAAAGCTCGTTATTTTAAGATAAGAGCATATTAAAGAAGTAAACATCGCCCTTTTTTGAGTAGAATAGTGACATGAATTCTCTTTTTAAAGAATAATTTCCAAAAAAAAGTACCTACTTAATCCACTCCACGAGTTCTCACAATTTGACCACGGAAGAGAGAAACTGACAGAATTAATGAAGTAGAACAGTGACCAAGCAGAAACTAGACTGAGGTATATCGCTAGTATACAAGACACAAACACCATCGCCACGCCAACACCTCAAGATAAACGAAATGATGATAGTCGAAATTAAGAACGACACAGCCAACAACGACCTCAATGTTTTAAAAAACTCAAAAAGTGCAGGAGCATTAGCAACGTACCTTTGAAAAGTGGAACAACGTTCCACACAGAAATTGCTGCTAGCGAAGAAAACTGTCCGAGCACCAGCTCCATGAAAAACATGGGCAGAGCAGCGATGATGAGAACTACGAGGTAGGGGACGAAAAATGCTATTCCACCGTGTCGGAACACGAGGAATGGAAATCGCCATAGATTTCCTGGAAAAGCAACAACAGTGGGCTTTTGTAGACAGAGCTTATCTTTACACTATACATAATGAAGAAAACAGCAACAGTCTTCGAAATTACAACGATGATGAGATATTTGCAAAACTCCGGACCGCTCTGCGGTAGAGAACGAAGGCGCTATTTCGCTTTCCAGGGTCTACCATGTTCACCAACACACCATGCAGGTCACTTGTTTCGCCTTTCTCTCAGCTAGTTTTCTATCTACTAATTCCAGTACTCTTTGAAATTATTGCTAGCACCCAAATTTGCACTATATTGCAAATTATGATTTTAAGAATCTGATCATAGCCAGGCGAATAGCAATTTTAATCGTTTACATTGAAATTCTTAAGTCTAACTTATAATCCATTTCTTTCAGAAAAAACATGGATTCTAAATATACACTCAAAATCTTGCCCACGACTTGAAATGACAGTACGAAGAGTACCCAGTTCCTATATTCCATTAAATAGGTGACTTTACACGAGCAATTCACTGATCTTCTTTGAACGGTTTACCGCCTCATCGCAGCTAGGTGCTCCTAGGTGTCGGGCTACGATATACAGTAGGGGGAACCAATCCCCCCCCCCCCCAAGTCCTCCCAAGCTGAGAAGGAGGCCGAAGTTTCCTTCAGGAAGTCCAGCTAGGAGTACACCGATACCAGGATCAACCATCGTCCTCGTATCAAAGCAGTCACATGGTGGCAAATCTCCCTCTGATCCACAAGAGCAGCTACTGCCTGTGGTGGTGGCGATGTAGGGCAGACTTTGGTTAGGCTGGTTTCGGGAAGATTATGCTGAGTCCCGCAAAACCAGTGAGGACAGGTCATCTAGGTATCCAAGTTCATGGCTACGTCAACGCCAGTTATATAAAGCAATGAAGAAAAGGCAGAGAAGTATATAATACGTACCAATACCAAAAGTAAACCCAACAATAGCCAACATGTAGTCCGTTTTCGAACACCAGTTTCCTCTGATGCGATTCTCGTCACCAACACCATCTGTTTCTTCGAACGGATACTCAATATCACCCTCTCGAACATAGTCGGGAAACTTCGCATCCATCTGTGATAAAACGGGATACAATAGAAGGCTGACGATAGCTTCATTTAGAAAAAAAAGGATAAGAAACGACTTAACAGTTCCTAGGATCGACTTTCTATTAACCTCAGCACTGGATAATAAATACGTCGTTTTCTTTCTCAGCAATCGCGAGGTTAATAGAAATTAATGATGTAATGAATGAATGTAATGAATGATGAACGATGAAAAAAATGATGTATACTCTTGAAATTATAAATCGAAAGCGTAACTGGTTTCCAGGGAAGAAACTGATCGCACTAGGTGAAGTCACTTTAATACACCTCAATCTAATGCACAGACTGTTAAGAATTACCCACTTGAATTACTAAGTTGTAGGGAACTGTACATATTGTAGAACAACCTTATCAAAGCCTAGGGTAAAAGTCACATCTACCTGTTTGAGAAACGGTGGATACAGAGAATAGTCGAGAAGTTCCTTTCGACTGTCTTTTTTATGCGGAAAATCACCCGGAGTCGCTCGTCCTTGACTGCCACTTATCGACATCGTGAACTCAGCTGGTGATCAATAGGTAGCAGTCTCTGAAAGAAGTAATCAGCAATTGTTTGCCTCATAAAGTGCATCAAAAGTACTAATCTGAACAATCAAACTCCGCAATACTTCCCCTGCAACCCTTCCCCCCCCCCCCCCCCCCCCCCCCCCCCCACCTCTCGCACTCACTTTTGCGCTTACAGAAAAGAGTTCTCCACAAAACACTTTCATACTATACGTCCATATAGGTCCAGAAAAACAAATTCCATTCACCCTAAGTGGTACAGACGCAATACTTCATTAATCGTCTTTATTCCACTACACATAAGTCCCTAACTTAAGAACTTGAGGTCTACAAATATTCCATGGTAGCAAGGTAATGTCTAAGAACGATAATGGCGTAAGCACAATAACCATCTAATGTGAAGATGAGTGGATACTCAGCGGTGCAAAGAATTTTTCTATTGTTGTATGGCCCATTTTCACATCAACTGAACGGATCCCAGCACCATCATTCGATTCATTTCCTCATATTCATCACCTACGAAGGTCGTCGAACTTCCTACGAAACGTTTCCATGTAGGTTGGAAGAAGTGAGCTGATCCCAGACTTGTCTGCTACTCATTTTTCCTACCCCGAAGGCATGAAAGACTATGTGAGCCTGGAACGGGATTGAACTAACATCTCGTGATGAACTGCATCAAATGCAAACAATTCTTTTCTTTCTTTTTCCCTCTTCTTTTTCCTTTCGAAAAATTGTTCTGTAGGAAACAAAGAAAAAGAACAAAGACCAAAAAGCGAAGAACAAATGACAGATGAACAAAGAAAATATAGACGGACTACAAGAGAATGCAGGTGTCCCTGGGAGGGCCACCTACACGATACGTGAACGTGTTCTTAACCAAAGTCAAACAGCGGTACTCGCAGCTTCAGTTGTTTTAAAGATCACCGTGTGAGACTCGTACCCGCCACCATAGGGGAATGAAACCACCACCACAGACAACGACTGCGAGACAGAGAGACGAGTGGGAAGTATGCTGGGGCCCATGCAACTCGCAAAGATGGGCCGTCCAAGTAAGTAAGCCGGAAGGTTTGAGAAAAGAAGCAAAGAAGAATGGGTTTGTCGCCAATGTTATACAATAAATAAAGTAGTGAAGAAAAGCAATATGAGGATAGCGAAGGATTTCAATACCACCAACTACCAGCAACAGCGTCATTCAAATACATAAATCGAGAAAGTATCCCTGTCCCTCGTTGTGGGGGGCCTAGTGCCAAGTCGTCTCTTCTCCTCTGATCGCCACTTAGAAAGTATCTGTTGTGGGGGCTTATTTTCATATTTCTCAAAACACGAGAACCACCGAAAAACTGTGCCGCTTTCATGACTTCAGGAAAAAATAGAAAAAATATTAATTTAAATAGGCCATCTTACTCAACTGAAAGCAGAGAAGGAAAAGAGGAAGAAAAAAAAGGGTCCCGATAGAATGTAGTAGGACTCATACCACCGGCAAGTGGAGTGTAACAGACGCGACCTCTATTACAACGGCCGATCATATTAAACGCTTAACAGGTCGAAACATTTTATGTGCAGTGGCCGTAACAACAGAAAAAACGCCACGCACGATGACTGTTGCCACGACGCCTAATTTTCAGCGGTTACGAACGTGATGGTTTTTTGACATTAGGCGATAATTCTTCGATATTTGGAAGGCTTGAGGGCTTAAGAACATGGTAGTTATAGAAAAGACTATACCACATCGCTCTAAGGATATGCTAAGGGCATGGTGTGTATGCTGCTCTATGCATTTTACCACGATCGATTTCATAGTAACGCGTTGGTACCAGCGTTCACCGCAGTATTTTCTATACCAGCACTTTTCATGCGATAAGTGCGATCATTGTAATGATTGAAAATGAACGAACTTATTCGAAAAGCGGTTATTTTCTTTCGCTTTTGGAATATATCTCGTTGCAGAATGGAGAGTTTTGCAGCTGATGGGAGAACCCATCACATCTGTGTGGGAAAACTCATCGACTATAAAAAGTGCGGCAGAAAACCTCTATGTGGTGAAAAAATCACCGAAAACAGGGCGCATCGAAATCAATATGCATTGTCCACAGAACCCAAGCGAACGTACGTAATGAAATCATCGCGCGTAATCGTGAATGAATCGGATTGCTAGGTTGATTCACGAAAGCTGCAGTTTTGGAAAATGTCCTCTTGAGGTACCCGATACTTCACAGCGGTCAACGAACGATGACAAGTGAGAATGAAATGGCCAAAGCAATACCAGGAGAAAGTCGGTCAATCTGTAACAACTTTATGAATCCAAATGTCTGTAGATCCACGCCCTCGATTTGCATTTCTCTCAACAATTTCTTTACCCAACGGTGCTATCAGCAATCACCCATTAACGCGAATAATGTGGGGAGTATATATCGGCATTGAACCCATTAAGGTGAGGCTGTAGTCGAAATCACAATGTCAACTCTTCATGTACCGACCATTATTTTTTCACGGCAGGGTTCTACCTAAAATACAACCACACTAGTGCTGAAATATTACATTAGATATATTAGACAAAATATAATAGATGTCTGCCTCCAGAAACACAAGGTGATACGACAGGCGATAAAAGAAGATCTTAAAGAGAGAAGCGTAGCAGTTATGGTCGAAGCCGCAGAGCATGGAAAAGGCATTCGCAAAGCCCATTGTAGTTTCTCCGATTACAAAACCAAGCCGGCTGCACCCCGCCGCCTAGACGGAACCGCTACAGATTTCGGGCCATAGAGAAAATCATTCATGATTACCACCCGGATTTCTTTAATAGCCACGTGCTCCTACTCTCACGCCAGTGAAGGACGATGAAAATGTGGCCCCACTAGTTCTCTCATCCGAAATTCGACATGCTGTTCTGTCGGTGAAAAATCGAACAATACCAATTCCCAACACGGCAACATCTGAACACCTGAAGAACCTTCCGCCAGTCCTCGTAAACACACTGGTCCGACTCTTCACAAGTTACGTGTCCGAATGCAAGATTCTTACTAAGTGGAAGACCAGCAAGTTTATGCTATTGTTCAAGAATGACCACCATGATATCCGGAACTACCGCCCAATCTGCTTGCCGTTTGTCGTCCACAAACTTTTCATTTGACTTTTCTGTCCTAAATCCTAAACATCCTAAACAGGATTGACAGAATACTGTAAGAATCGCATGGTATCTACAGTTTACGTTCAGGTATTTCACATCTTCGGAATACAATTTTAACTATCTTGTTGTTGTGGCCGTACGGAAGTAGAGAAAAACACACCATATCCGAGATCAAGTTTTCAATCAAAGCGAATATCAATAATGGGAGCACAAATGTCTAGTATACACTTCAGTTGACTTTCTCATAACCCTCTTAGTTGGTTTCATCGTTGGACCCGATCAACGATAGCAATTCGAAGCGGACACCTGCCTACTTTATTCATTGACTCAACAGTACTGTAAAAGAAACTTATAATTACATGTTCCTACCCGTAAGTAGTTATTTGACCAGTATAGTTTCCCACTCTCGTGATTTTCTTTCCTCATTACAAACAATCCGTCCACTTGATGTCTTATCTCAGCCGATATCGGGTGTAGATTGATGTATTGGTGTACGATCGAACGCATGGTATACATATATATATATTAATGAACACTTTAAGTTTAAAATTAAAATTTCGGTTCCAATTTAAGCGTAACAACTAGCAGCCCTATAGGCAGTACTTGGCAGGTGTTTAGTAATAAAATCCACTAGACGCACTGCTGTGTTTGCTTTTTTCAGGTGTGTAACAGTAGTAACAATAAGATTGGTCCATAGATGGCAACTCTATGAGAATCCCACGGAGCTATCTGTTTATTTTTAATCATTAACACTGAGCCTTCTTTGTAGTTACATAGACAGTAGTGAAACATGTACAATGCAAATCCTGATAGTAGCTTTTTTTCAGAATCACAAACAAAGATTCGCTGCAATGCATACGAACACGTCTATCCCCTGCTATGAAAAAAGAAGTAACCAACTCGTATAATGCTGAGATATTTGCAAAACTCCGGACCGCAGGTGTCTGCGGTGAGGAACGAACGAGCTATTGTCCTTCCCGGGGAGTAACGCGTTCACCACCACACCATGCGCTCCCGTGATTACGGGTGATTGCTGATGGCAAAAGATCGATAGAACTAGTTGAGAGAGAGGCGAAACGAAGGACCCGCGTGGTGTGGTGGTGAGCGAGTTACTTCCCGGAAAGGACAATAGCTCGTTCGTTCCCCACCGCATACACCTGCGGTCCGGAGTTTTGCAAATATCTCAGCATTATACGAGTTATATTTCGCAACATACCCTGCCAGTAAAAAGAATAGGCAGTAAATAAAAAGGTTAAGAAGTAACCAACTTAAAATGGTTCAATCAGTAGTTTGATCACTACTTGGGTCAATACTTTGTCCTCAGAACCAGATATTTTTCC